ACAGGACGGATTCAGAGAGATAATTATGATTTAATGATCTAACGATATTAGGAAGAAGAAAAGGTGGATTACACGAAAACTTGATCGGAATGTTTAAAGAGTGCCGAAATATAAAATCCAGAAATTAAATAATAAAAAACCATTGAACCATTTAACTGACAACATGGGTGAATTGACGATGAGACAACAATTTTTTCATATTGTTCGCTATGTTAAGAATTTTTCGATCTTATAAGCCAAGAAGAAGTTGGGAACGCTGTGGCTAGAAAAGTTCTACAAAGTAGTGAATGATTTTTATTATAGTTCACTCAAGAAATATTCGACTGTTTTTTTTAAATATGCCTGTTCTTGTTAGTGACAGTCTGAAAGTTTTTTCATCAAATACATATTAGCTGAAAACAACAGTTCGTATCTGAAGTGAGCTTTACTTTCAACGAAAATCCTGATTAGAATTTAGTTTCAGTTACTGTTGCTGTGTAATAGAATAACAAATAAACTGCCAAACTTCATGAATTTCTGATAGGATCCACTTCTCAATAAAAACCTCTGCTATCTGAGTCTACTGTATTTTACAATCACGAAGTCCGTATTTGTTTTTTCTTACGTTTTTTCCAGGGATATCATGAATTCCCTTAGAAATTCCTTTTTTCTGTTTTCTAAATGCGTTGGCCCTCATGCAACGTTTAGATCTACCTCCATCTGTATATTATGTTAATTTTGCGATAATTAATTAATTAGGCGAAAAATTACTTGTCCGGCAAATTATATATGCGAGAAAGTATTCAACCGCCGCTAACCCTCTGCGCTAAGCATATTTCTCGCGACATTGCATTATCCAATAGCTGGTCACCTAGTCGCAGTATACGTATTAGCATCGGTGTGCATAGATGCACGAAATGATAGACTCAGTTTCATTCTTATATCTATATGCATCCAGAATCTTGCTGTGTACACTTATGAACCCGGTTGGCATGCTTAGAGCCAACCCTGATATTTATTGCACGCGACTCATTTCTTTCACTGTATTCACATTTTTACCAGCAGATTCGTGCTCACCAATGATCTCACTGAGACAAACACACTTGCCATTCCTGTATTAAGAAATCTTCTAACACCTTCGACTCAAGTATTTGCTCAATGCTCGTTCATATTGAGCGTCCATATACTATCTCATGAAAACTGTTACAGCGGGCTGCAAGATGTGCGTAGAAATCTACGCTACAAAAAACGCATATAAGAAGGCAAATTTCCGGCTATTTTCACGACATTTTGTAGCCTCGGAGTTGCTGAACAATGTATATTAAAACTTTTTTATTCAGACTTTGTCGCTCGTTACAGTTCGTTCGGTACGAGAAATACATGGACGTCAAAGAAATCATCTTTTAGGAGCATTTTGATGAAACTGAAAAATGTCATGTCTATCTCATATGAGGATTCGTCATTTTCCGTGAGAAGATAGAGTTCAATGAATAGGATAACTCCTCTAAGAGGAGTAGTGGTCAATCTTTGATTGTAAAAATGCTATAAGATTTACTAGTTTCTCTCTAGCTAATATAGCTGAAATGATCCAAATTACTCCAAGTTGGATATCTCGGAAAAAAATGGTTTTTTAAACGGCTGACATCGTGATGATCTATGCTTCTGTAATTCATCAGTTCGACTTGATATTCTCAGCTCCCATAGAAGAGAACATGCGCTCTCCAACGGTACCATTTTTTAGGTTAAAAGCATGAGAAAAAAATGCATTATGAGTCAGGGAAATAAGCTACTGACATTTCTGTTGGAATGATCCCAATTACACCGGGCAGTTTGTATAAGTGATCCGAATTGTCCAAGGTAGAGTAATCCGAATCACTTTTAGCATCTCTTTAGCATTTCGATCAATACTTTTTTCTGGTAAGTGCTATCGAAGAGATCCTTTCGCCAGTTGATGGAGCGTGTTCTGTTCTAGTCGCGATACAAAACTCAGCTCTCTACTCCAAATAACAACGAAGAACGAATCAAAACATTTTCAATCACTGCCATTTTGATCCAAATTATCCTAACTGATTCTACCATTCCCTCGACGTCAAACAATGATATATGGATAACCATCCAACGACATACGCTTCCGCTGCAATACCTTCATCGAAGACCCTTGGGGGCTTTTGATATGCTTGTAGAATTTTCATATATCCTACGATTGATAAACGCTGTGTTGGATATACCGCTGAAGGCTTTATCATATGAGCACAAATTCTTCTAGAGTTTATCTTCAAAAATTACCAGTACAAGGATAGATCATTCGGCGGATTTTTTGTCAGTGTACATATTGAATTAACTTTTAAATTCTTTTTGCGCTAAAGGAACCACTGTTTATCCGCGATANTTTGAACGTTCAATGAAATGATAATTGAGTTCATTTCCGTTTCTGTTTTCCCTTCATATTGATTTCACCACATTAAGTAAAACATGTGAAAACACGTGGCAAGAAACGATAAGAAGAAGAAATTAGAATAAATGAAAAAAGAAAAACCGAAAAAGAACGATGTTTGGGTGAAAAATCAGCTTTCGCTACCAGCGAGTTGTGTACAAAAAGCATTTTTCTCGAAATTTCACCAACTTTCTACGACATCGGAACTTCTCGAATAGCATAGAAAAAATAGAGCGAAACGAGCTCTATCGAATGGTAAAAAAAGAAAATTTTCTAGACCTTTGCTTAATGGAAAAATATGCATCCCTCACTACTTTTGGATTGCCCTGAGTAGTTTGAAATAGAGGTCCTTCTCAAAAAGAAATGATAAAAGATGCTTGTTGCAAAGGTGTGTTCTTTTTCACAAAGCACATCGATTGATTGATTTGTGGTATTGAATAGTCTAACATTAATGTATGAGTTTCATATGTTCAAGAGCTTGACTAATCAACTGTGTCAGTTTTCGATGATCTAATCAAGGTCTGAAAATACACAAAAAATACATTCGTACTTTGCTTTTTTGCTTCTTACCATCTTTTCACCAGGATGGCAAGTCACTTTGGGAAATACGAAATATACCATTAGGATGAAGAAAATAGTATAGCATATAATCATAACAGCAACTATATTCATTGCCCAAGTAAAATTTAATGTTTGTACAAAAAATCCGCCCGTTATGGGGCCTATACAAATAGATTATATAAGAAAACAATGGGCATCTTTTTTTTTAACTGTACGTACTGATAATGAAAACTAAAGATGTGACTGATTCAAAAACCGCAAAGACATGTCCATATGCACTCGAGTGTTCATATTCAGCCGCCATCTGCGAAAGCATGCCAGTGCTAGCCGAATAAATCATTCCCATACACCAATCAATTATGACCAGTGGCGCTACCAATACGATGGTAGTCTGACACATTGGCATCTATAAAATGATAAATATAATAACTAGAAACGTTTGTGAAGCACGAACTACCAGGAGTGTTGAAGTATCGAGGGTAGAAAGTGAACTCTCTACTAATCTGACAAATATGATTCATTAATATTAGATAGATAGTGCGGGCTAAATATCATGCACCAAATAATAATCATTTACGAATATCATATGACTACCGCCAAGTAATTAGGTTAGCTAGCTAGTCTGAATAAATATTATGTCTGGTATCTGTGATACTTATGAACTACTACTGATTATTGCGTATTTATTGACTACTATTAAAGGATCTGTTTATAAAATATATGAAATACTAGCCTTAGTAAGCAGTAATAATTACGGATTAGTTCGTGTTTCGAATTTTGTTCCTAGGGAAATTTCGCTAACAGTTTTCCTCCGAAGTATTATATGACGCAGTTTCCACAGACGATATTATTTTAGAAAAAGTACTGGTTCAATATTCATGGCAATTCTAGCTTTCACTATGTAAAGTTCCAAAAAGTTCAAGTTTTTTTCCATAAGTCACTATATTAATGAATACTTCCTTTGGTTTTCTAGTGCTTTTGAGAAATATACATGCGGCATTACAAAAGTTTTTTCGCGAGCTCTTTCGGACACTGTTTTTAGAGCCTAATGTTAGTTTATCCTTTCAAAATAGTCACCTGCTACATCAATACACTTTTGCATTCAACAAACAATCACCAAAACAGTTTTGAAAGACCTCTGTAGTCAGTCTCTCAATGACACGGTCCACGGCGTGAGGCATTTCGCTATCGTTGTTGAAATGAATTCCCGTCAATTGATTTTTCAGTCTAGCGAACAGAAAGAAGTCGCAAGAACTCGGATCCGGCGAATTCAGTGGTTTGGGTCAGAATTCGACCAAGTCCTGTGTCAGAAATTCGATCGTCACTCAAGCTCGGTACGGTTGCGCTCTGTCATCATTCAATATCAGCTCACATAGTCCTTTCTTCTTTCGTCTTTATAAGACAGCGTTGTAGGCTTAAGAGAGGCAACCGTTCATGTACGAGTAACCGCTTATCATCGGGTCAGATTCATATGGCACTGATTCGATCAGACGGAACTTCATGAAAAAAATTGCAAACATCCGTTATCCAGAATTGTTGGATGAGGATTCCCTCGTCACACCCATGCTTTCGATTGCTCTTTCATTTCCGAATCGTAATGATGGAACTATGATTCGGCACCGGTGATGACATCAAAGATGCGTTGAAATCTTCTTTTCTCGAATCTCTTTAGTGATTCGGAAAACTAAGTGCACAGTTGTTTCTGATCGTTGGTTAGTTGATGTGGCACCCACCGAGTGCAAACCTCATATAGTTTTATATGATAATGTGGGATTGAATAAATCGCGAGTGAACGAATCCACAAGGAGCTCGCGATCTGTTCATATGACACATGTGGATCGTCTTCGATCATCATTCGTACAACATTGATCATTTCTTCAGCTACTGTGATTTGAGGTGGCCCTGATCCACCAGCATCTGAGACATCAAACTTTCCGCGTTCGTATCCGTGAAACCAGCTCAGAATCGTTCGGTCAAAAGGCACTTGATCCCCCCAAACCGTCGCGAAACAGGTACGGCTCTCTCTGTAATTTCGGTCGATTTTTCTACTATACAGAACCATTATACGAATTTCTTCTTTAGACAGTTCGAACGTCATTTTGACAATGACTAATAGAACTCTTCGATAAACCCGAATATCCCATATAAACAACAAGTAGAGGTCTTAGAATTTTCAGTTACCATGAAGATGTCCCCACTCGACAAAGGTGGCGTTGAAAAGAAGTTTGAGTGCTTAATGACAGTATGCGAAAAAAATTCTGTAGCGTCCCATGTGTAACAGTAGTTATGTACTTTTTGATGGAATAGAAATTAATTTATAACAGTATGTTGTTATTCATACTGCTAAAACGAGGAAACAGAAACTATCGAAAGTCATAGTTAATATTAATTTATTGCTGATATACTACTCCTGACTGTACAGAAAACAAGCTATTTCAGAATATAATCATACCGCTTGATAAGGGCTTCCTGAAATTTTAGAAAAAACGATATGTAAATCATGTAGAGCTCCTTCGTGTACAGTTTTGGAGAAAGTTTCCCGTTTGTGCCTACTGGTTTCTGTGACATAGGGCCGATTACATGGCAGTGTCGTAGCTAGAGGATTATTCAACAATTGCCCAGCCTTTGAAAATTTATTATCCAGTAATTTTGTGGAAAAATCGATATGGCTCAGTGCTGAAGAATATTTAACGTGATTAGTTTTGTTAGATCTCAGGACACATGTCTATTGTAGTGTACTTTTCTTTGAACTCTGCATAGACTTGAGAAAGGGTTAAAATATATGGAGAGAAAGAACCACTGCCGAGTCCTCGACCAAGTTTTACTGAGGAATGGGCCAATGCCCGAAAACACTGACTACGCCACTATTACATGAAATGTTGCCCAGTCACAATATGGTCAAGAAGGACGAAAATGCTACTTTTCTCTCATGACAAAAGCGCTAATGAAAATTATTGAGTACAAAACGTTGAAGGCTACACTGAACCATAGTGAATTCAGTTAAGATAAAAAAGCATCAAATGAAATCAAGGGTCATAATGTTTTGACAAGTCTTATAGTGGACTTCGAGCACTTTAATAGTGTATCAGCTCTCATCACACCTGAGTCCGAGAGAAATTCGACTTCCTACATACCGTTCGAAAGATTATAGTAGACTCTACAAATCTATATATACGGCTTTTCTATTCAACATTCATCACTAAATCCGACGAGATCCTTTGTTTCTCATTCCTATTCCAAGTTTTAATGTCCGTATTGAAGTAAGTGCTTAATAAAAAAGGATTTAGCATGCTTCAAATTTGACGACTTTTTTAATCAGCGGACCTTTTCAAGACATACCTCATCTGAAAGAGCAACCTCGGTAACCTCGAGTTGGTATAAGCGCCTATTGTACAACATTTTCTCCGATAATCAGTTTAGAAAAACGCTGCTGAAATCTGAATGGTTGGACTTTGGGCACATCAGAAAGCAGACTAACAGATGAGGAATTTTCGTCTTTAACACAGATTCTCTTATGATTGAGAACTAACCCTAGCTATGTGTTTCTTAGCGCTTTTTGGGTCTCGCCTATAGTAGGAATTAACAATACTTATGTGTCTAGTTTTTACCTGCAACAAACATACAAAGGCATTTCCCTTTTTCTCGCACCATCCTTCCTTTAGTCGGAACAATATCAGTTTTCTACTTACGATAAAAAACCCTAGAGCCATAAGCGGAAGGGCTATGCTAATAGTCCGTTCTCTAAAAGCGAGTAAATATAAGAACAGAATTGATTCGGAGCAAATAAGTGAGACCTGCCTATCTTGAAGGCCAACGAACCAAACACATTTTGACTAATGAACAGTGCCAAATTTCCCGGTAGATATACCAAGCCTATCGCATTTTGTCATCAGCTATAGTCAACGAAGCAGTTCTATAGTCAAGATAAACCTTACTCTGTTCTAGAATGGAAGCATTCATAGATGCCATAATATGAAGCGGAAGAATAGCTTGGAACATTGCGATACCAAAAAAACCAATCATAGAGACACCTGAAATAAAAAAAAGAAACCTAAATTCTACAGACTTCAATTATTGTTCATAATAACCTAAAGAACATGACATATTCTTTTTACTTTACAACATGTATATGTATTACAACTTGAATCGCTTATTTTGCTCTCATGCACGACAAAATACAGAGCGGTTGAGAAAGCACTCGGTAGTCTTTAACTACGTTCAGTTTTCGAGAGCAAAAGTCAATTCACAGTTGCTAATTTCAACGTTTGATGCAGAATGTATCAGGGTTTTTTTTCATATATTATATGAGCCATTTCGTGTAAACTTTGATCGTCTACATAGAAAACAGCTAAATCGGGGTGGTCGGATTTTGGTGAATCTAAGATACGTTACAGAGCAAAGAGTTTCATGGATCGGGACGCAAATCGACTCAGAAAAGATTCAATCTGCAGCCTCTTTTGATTCATGAGCTTTTCTCTCAGGGCGTGTTTCTGCCTGCTCATATATCAAGAACAGCTTGACCGATTGAGCTGAGATTTTTTGAAGACATGCCGTCCGGAGTTCTGCTTACAGTGAAACTTTTGTCTCAAAAGAATGATTCCTTGACTTTTGATGAACTCTCCAAAAGAGGCAACAAGCCAATTTGTGGATAACTCTGGTACTTCATATATCGGTGTGAAGCTAGAACGAACAAACGGTATGTTAGCAAAAGATTTTTTACTAAGTATGTCCTGCCTATGAAAACTACACCATTCGACTCAGAATTTAATTCTACATTGAATGGTGCCACTTTTATTCACCGGACAAACTTTCGAAATTTTTCTATCTATATCTTTGTTCGTTTCCTTTATGTCTATTTAAAATCCAGATAGAAATTTTCGAAAGTTTGTCCGGTGAATAAAAGTGGCACCATTCGATGCAGAATTAAATTCTGAGTCGAATGGTGTAGCTTTCATGGGCGGGACATACTTAGTAAAAAAATCTTTAGCTAACATATTGTTTTTTCGTGCTAGCTCTTTCGTGCTAGCTTCATACTGATGACTGGTAGCATTTCTCGTAGTCACAGAAGGAAAGCAGTTGATTCAATTGAAGAATCAAATATACAATTGACTGTCCTTAGTTTAATATAAAAATATTATGTGAGAATTATTCAGAATTCTAGACAAACCGAGATTTTTCTGAGTAAAGTGCACGTTGGGCCATTTTCGCATAATTTAAATAATACCGAGTTAGGTCCAAACAGCACTGCAAAAAAATAACGAATCTGCATTTGAGATGCAAATATTTTTACTTGAATGGTTAATAATAGAAATTTGAATCCTCTGATAACATTTTTCTATGTTCCATAACTTTAATACTCTCTATATTTCTAATACTTCCATAGGTCATGCGGCTACAATAATCGTTACAACGCCTGCATCCTGTGTAGCGCCTGTAGTCCTGTAGGACTGAGCCTGTATAGCTCCTGTCGTCCTTGCATCCTGTGACCCCGTAGCAGCTAACCTGTATAGCTGAAGTAGCGACTTGCCGCCTATGAGGGGGGGGGGGGTTCCAAAGATCCTGGATATAGAACTTATACTCACTATTTTCCTTCGAAAAATAATGTGAGCTCCACAAAATATTGTATGTTTGACGAACAAATGGTATCGTGACAGCCAGAATATTGAAAAACGTTGTTGCGTTAGGAAATTGAACTGTGTCGGGTTTTTTTAATAACTTTTCACCAGCATCGTGATATATTCGTCAAACTTGCAATATTTTTTTCATGAAAATAATCAGCCCAGATAGTACCATAAAGTCTGATGGGTTAAGGAATTTTTAGAGAACTTTTTCTTTTGAAGGCTGATCGATAAATGTAAATGATGATATGAGCCACCGGTGGATCACATCGTACTGAATGTGTTAAATGTTTTTCTTCTTACGTTCTATGTCTCAAAAATTTCAAGATCGTATTTATGAGATAGAAAAGAAAAAATCTTGCTCTCCTGAAAATCAACTATTTTTATCACAGGTACCTTTATATAAATCGTCTGACGTAAAATAACCACCCTTTGATATTATCGCATATTCTTGACTCCCTAGTTGACTTCCTTTTTCTATCGATCATCTTACCGACAACAGTTAAAACACGAGGATTACACGCTACTGTCCAAAAGGTGAGTGCTATGGAAGATTCACGATGTGTGACTCCGGGCGTAATCACGATCAAGCGTAATACTAGAAATGAAATTATATGAAACTGAAAAACGTGTTCAATATGACTCACGACCGTCTACCAATGCTATACCAGCAAGAACCAGAAACGTTGCCAGCTTTCCCACATAGTTGTACATCAGACCACCATATACGGGCCCAATCATAACTCCAATGCTCATACCGCTCATTGCTTGACCCAAGGCTCGTCCTCGTTCTTGATCATCATCATACCGTGCTGACAACATAGCCGGACCTGTAGCACACAAAAGATAGAATATAAATAAGTAGAGAGCAAAGAATAATGAATGTCCTAGAGAATAGCCAATATGGTAGAGTTACTATATTTTTGATACTTGACAATAAAGATATAGGGATGAGACAAATAGAAAGATCGTTTTCAATGATCTTAGACCATCTATCAGATATAGTATATGTGAAAATCTTAAAAACAGTTTAAGGTGCATCTAACACATCTAAATAATTCTGGTCAATAAAGTCGTTTTCAGCACGATCGCTGAACAATGATAAGGTTCTATAACAAAAAATAAGATGGGCAACCGCTTCACTTTCCATGGTATTTCTTTGCAAAACTATAAACGTAAGAAAAAAAAACAGAAAGGCCATTATTTATCAAAAAACCGTTAAAAATATACTAATAAAACAATTATTGATTTATTCTGTTTCTTATAACTCTACAAGAGAATGTTATGACGAATTAGCTAGTCGTTCAGCCGGGTCAGAACATTACCTTCAATTAAACAGAAACGTTGTCAGATTGTCGAGAGCAATTTGCATGGCACAACAAATGAGTAAAATACAGCATCTACTGCACGCGATAGCTTTTCATTTAGAAACATACCATTATGGCGTACGGCTACCACCTTGAGGGCGCGGGTCAATTGAATGACACTCACATCCTCAAGAGGTGAGAGGATGATAGACACGAAAGCTAAGTAAAAGTTATGAGCTGTTACGTTTAGATATCAGGAATTAAACATAGGAAAACCATAGCCAAAAATGTGCTCCTCGGGAATTGATGTGACTTTGAAATCGATGCTCTTGCACGTCAAAATTCGTGATGCGTTCCATCTAGTTTTTCCAAAGTGGGATTTTTATAGTAAAACCGGTGGCTCGTATTCAATTGAGCGACAATCATGTAACCGGCACATTCTTTGGTCGACAGTCTGCTTGACTAGCAAGTAAACTTGGCGGACAACTCATTTAGCCGACAGTCTTGATGACAAAAGATTTCAAATTTCTCGAAAATGAGGGTGTATAGGCGAGGGCGATGGTGATGAACTCGGACGTCCTCTCTCCGTTTAGTTAACCCTTGTAGTACCAGTCGGGGTCATTTTTTACCCCCCCCCCTCCCTTGTGAAACCAGTGCTATCTGAGAAACACTTTCGTGTGAAATATAGTTTTAAATTTTTGCTAGAATAAAAGGGATCATTGTTTTGGGATACTCTATATAAAATAAAACTTAAAATCACATACATTGAATTAAAGCAATAGGTTTAAGACAACCCTAAACGAGCCCGGTACTACAAGGGTTAACATCACGTGTCTGATTGTTCAGTGATTATTGCTGATGATATCAACTAACCTTTTCTCTGTATGTAATTATCTTGTGTCTCCTCTGGATTTCACTCTCTTTCTCTCCCACTGCCCAGAGCTTATCTCATTGTTGCGAACGATATGTGAATCTCTTTGTCTCTCTTACTGCATGTCGTCGCCTATAAAAGGCAGTATCTGCGTGATCTTCACTTATCCGCCTGCGCGACAGACTTTCCAATCTCCACCTTCCCCAGGCAGTTATTCTTTGTGTTAACGATTATTCAATCAATTGTTATGACTTCAAGACTCTGTCGGGTGAAAGAGTTGCCGGCCAAGTGTACTTGTCGGTCAAACAGGCTGTCGTTCAAATGGTGTCGGCCAAAAGATATGTGGGTCACAGGATTGTCGGTCAAGTGAACCAGACGCAAACCGGTAATGGTTTTCGTTTTTCTGAGAATGTGGATACGACAGTGGATTTTCAGGAATAGCCAAACACAACGCGACATAAGACCAGCCTTCGAAAACTTTCGTTGGTCCCAGTCTACTTTCTTATCATTCCGCATGAAGACTGGTTTGTTCGGTTTCATGAGTCCGTAGGTCCCTGAGTCTCTTATGACTCGCAATCCGTTGCTTTCCCTAGGCCGTCTGATCCTTCAATCTCTAGATGGAATCGAGGAATTCAAACGACTGAGGCACGCAAAGGACTCATATTAATAACAAGTTTTTATATAGAATGGAAAAAAGAGTAAAAAGTAAACTACAATAAAGTTAGTTTTTCGCCAACCTATGCGGCATGAAGTCAAACTAAAAGGGACCCGTGCGAACTGTACGTCCATTTTGATGAATCAAAATACACTACTTCACGATGACCTAATCCTGATGGAAGACACTGCACAGTCGTGAGTATATCTCATTCTTAGAAAAGAAATACCTCAATTCTTTCTTAGTTCTCGTATAAATAATGCATGCTTTTCCTAACAAAAATATATCCTCACACGCATGAACGGTGGCATCATACAGTAGAGACTAAAAAACAGTGTCTACTGTTTAAACACGCAACATGTCCTTGTCACAGCGGCTTCTTTGCAGCGACAATTCGTCAACCGGGCCGCCACGTGTCATATGAATGAAGTGCTCTTGCGAGACAGGTACTCACATAGAGAGACTACTAAACCCCTTCCTCGCTATTTGAAAGATCCCTCTGTATAATAAGATCTCCCTATTACAAGACTCCTTTAGCCAAAAGTTTTCAAAAACATATTAGAATACGCCCGTTTTTAACTGGTTAATATTTTAATAATCTATATCTTTATTTATTGTTTGCGGGCCTGAAATCAATAAAAATGAACATTAATACTATTTCTAGGCCACTAAAAACCCAAAAACATTTCCCAAAACCACAAAAAACTTCAAACACCTTGAAAAACCTTTTTTACCAAAAATTGTGACAAAAACATATGTCATTTTAGATGATCACTTTTTAGATTTGTTATATAGAGACACTACAAAAGACCAAGGGTCTTCTAAACTGAAGGGGGAGGTTTATACCGTCAATATACGATCTATCTACTATTTAGACAAATTCTTGATCATATTTCTGGCCCCGATGTATTATTCTACGTATACTGAAGACAGCGAATATTAATGCTATTCACTACCATAAAGTTGCCTGTAGCTTTGGAAATCTACTTTTTTTCCGATTTAGTAATTTTTTTAAGCTTGCTTGCATATCTTAGGCTCACATGGACAGATTAGATCGCTAATCGGTCGCTCATTGAGGATCAGAGTAAATACGATACCGAGAGTAAAACAAATTGGGTTAAAGGTGTGCCAGTGAGAAAAAACGATTCTTTACTGAAACGATTTCAGTTTGTTTTATGCTAGTAGTGGATAGTCTCGTTCAATTACCGAGGGTAACCCAAAAGTAATAAGGGATATACCTTATTTCCTCAAGCAGAGGTCTGGGAAAATTTTCATGTTTACGGATGCGGTCCGGTTCTTTACGACAGTTCACACGAGCTGTGAACCGTCACAACCCTATTACGGATAGGTAGAGCATCGTTCACTCTACTTTTCTATCCTGTTCAATTACTATTCAAAGGATACTATAATAAGAAAATTTCGATGAGAACTTTTTTGAGTAATTTCAGCTGGTAGCAAAAGCAATACTGCAACAGTGCAAAAGTAGTTTGGAGTATATTGGAGTATTATCGGAGTACAACGAAGTAGAATGCAGTATGGACAGACTACAGGCGGAGTAGAATGGAATATGATCGGATTACAGTGAAATATGATGGAGTACGGTTAGAGTAGACCGGAGTATGGCTGAAGTATGACTAAAGTAAACTGGAGTTAGGGTGGAGTATCGATGGAGTAGAGTGGAGTAGGCTGGGGTATTGGAGTGTCGCTTTTTCTCCTTGCTGCATTATCATCTGTACATGTTTGGTTTGTTTTGCTCTCATCACCCAATAGGTTTTATTAAGGAACAACATACACGATGGACCCAAGTTACTTAACCAGAGTAAAAGCTGAATATCTCCACTACCACTCAACCAAATTCATTGATCTCTTTCGTTTGAAAGAGAAGCATTAGCTGCACAGCAAATGTCTTTACAGCCGGATTTGATCTGCTTATCTGTTGTGACCACAAATGGACAAGACGTAATTTAGTACGTCAGATTTATTGGCGATAAAAGCCGAAAGAAAGGTGTTTTTTTTCGAAATCATTCTCGATCAATAGAGTCCGGCGGGATTGTCCCGATCCCAATTTTCACTCCGAATCCCGGTCCCAATGGGACTAAAACCTTGACGAGATCGGGGCCGGGACGGTTTTTTTTTTCAAATCGAAGACGAATCGGGATCGGCATAAAAAAAACAATTCCGCTGGACTCTACTATGCACAATTCAAGAATCCGTACATAAAAAACTGATTTGAGCGCGTACACTATGATTCGCCCTTCTTGTAAAATACGAATACAGCTTTTCTAGTCAGTTAGAATATTCAGACTCATTTACTTTTAATTATCGTTCCGACGTTTTAGTCTGCGATTTCGCAATTCTATAACCGCATATCAGCAAAAACATGAACGTAAACAAAAAGCGGTCAACAACTGTATCGTCTATAGTACCAAACGTACAAAACTATACGAAGAACGAGTTATTTTAGATCACAGTAACAAAAATAATTATCAAAGAAACGGGTGTCACAAAATGAATGGCCCTCTCAGTATTTTCCAAGTATCTCTCTCAAATTGTGACGTATGTACTTTTATTTTTTGTCAAAATATAGCCCATGGAATTCTCTACAAAACGCTTATGAAGGAAGTTCTTCCAACGAATAGCTATAGGGTTATATCGGTCAACACTACAGTGTCATAAAATGGATCACTTTCAAATCCACATTTTTATCGAATAAATGACGTCGTTTCTTCTAGCGAAACAGATACGAGACCCAATTCTAATGCAAGTTTCCTATTTTTAAGCGTACTCTTTTTAACAAAGCTTAAAAGATGACATTCAGAAACGATTGCAAGTTTCCAGAGACCAACCTTAAACAATGAACCCGTCGAAACCACTGATTGTTCCTCACATACACCTCAAGCGTTGCAGAAAAACACTATAGCATCCTGTGCGCATTGAAATGATAGAAAAAGCATTTTCTCCAACTTTGTAATAAATCTGAATACATAATAGTTTTATATTTCACAGAACAAAATTAAAAGGTAATTAACCTTAATGGTAGGTTCAGATGACCTGGGCAGAAGACAACAAGGGAAAGGTTTTCTCCGAATAAATTCATCGTATGTAACGAAAATTTATTCGCTAAACTGATAGAGCTTTTCGTGGGCTACAAGATAGCCTATTTATTCTGTTTGTGTCGGGTCGACAAACTGGCGTGAAATCGTTAATACGAAAATGAATGCGTTGAAAGTTGGCTCCTTTAGAGTCTTAAAATGTTGACCCGACATAACCCCATAGCTTTTCGTTGGACGAATTCTCTTCGTAAGGGTTTTGTAGAGAATTTCATGGGCTATCTTTTGAAAAAAAAATTACAGTATATACGTCACAATTTGAGAGAGGTACTTGCAAAATACTGAGAGGACCATTCATTTTGTGACACCCGTTAGATTACAAATAATAAATATGGGCTATTGAAATACCTATCTGGAAATGTACTATAAATCATATTGTTTTTAATGAGTTAAATAATATTGTATGTTTGTCTGAAGAACTTATATTGCATCATCTATTACGATTGGGCAAAAAAGTCTTTTAAAAACGCGAACAAAATCATAAAATAAACTAAGATACATAGCTTCGTAGTTGAATTTGATAGTCCTATCAAAACCACCAAACTTTTAACGATGAACATTACGTATATGAAATACATTTTATACGCCTATCAAATCGAACTACAAAACATGTACACTCTGCTTTATTCAATTCTTTTTTATCGCGTTTTTAAAAGACTTTGTAAACCTTGATTGAGTATAAAATATATCAACTTCACAACGCATATCCTACTTTTTAGCTTATCATAAATAAGGTAACATATAGTTAATTTCCAGCGAGCTCCCAGATGTGTGAAAATTACTAATAATCTAGTATTGAAAAAGGCTCTAAATAATAATAAGGAAGAAGTCGCACTATGACTATTGTTTTGTCACTTCTATCGGTATTTTCATTTTTCCAAAATAGACATTAAAACAAAAAATTAAAATGCATCATAAAGGATTTTTGTGGCAGTTTTTCATCATTTTAATACCCTTCAAACATTTTTGTTCCTGGCTGGAAAATAACATACATCCCTCACTACTTTTGGATTGCCTCTCACGAGTCAGTCAAATTTCGAAATCTCGAACTGTGAAACTAAGCTGATAGTGTTTATAAAGGAAGATAGGCTGGTTTACCTGCCACGCTAGTAAATGAAGCGCCGAGTCCTTGTATAGCAGCTGATACCAATAAGCATGCATAACTATCTGCAAATCCAAAACCTGTTCACGAAAGTAAAAAATCTTCCCGGTTGTGTTTCAATTAGTATTGTTAGTTGACTTTAACATACCGACAGCCGCCACAAACATCAGTATAAATCCGAGAAACATAGGACTACCATAGCCAAACCTGTAAAAATAAAAGATTTTTAGTAACCATCCACAGAGACTGCAAAAATAGTGTCCCTAAAGAATTTTCTATATCGATTTTTCGTACTTACTCTGTACCGATATCATACTGGTAGCGCAAGATTAGTCAGAAGTCATCCCACGTGGATTTCAACAATTCTCTTATAGGGACAAGGTTAAGCTGGGGAGGAAAAATCGCAGATGGAAAATCTCTCTTCGCACTTGTAATCTTGATAACTCGGTCGCTTTTCGGAATTCCTCTTGCTTTTTTCCGGCACAAAACAATGTTCGCTCGATCAATCTGTATAAAAATCTTCCAGAACTAAATGTGGACACTTCGGATTTCATCCGAGAGTTATGTGCACATCAGAAAGTGTCTGCGAAAACATATGGAAAGCATAGGGAAATGTCAGTCATTCTGCGATAACTTACACATGGTTCGTCAAATCAAGTATATCTTCGCACTCGACCGAAATATTAGTGAGACTAAATTGTGGAAAAAAATTCATCCCAGCCGGACTCTCCTTCGAAAAGTAATAGGATAAATGGTCTTTTAATCGGACACACTTATCGATTCTAGTAATGTGCCCTTTGTGAATACAATAAAAAGCTATGAATAGAGGTACAGAAAATTCTCAAAGAAGTTCTTCATTGATATAAATACTTAACTAGGGGTGGACCATTTCCGTTAATTTGAAATTAACGTAAACGGCAGCCCGTTAACCACTAATGTTAACGTATACGAAGTGTGAGTCTCGACTTCGGGGATGCGAACAAATCGTCGTAATACCAACAACAAAAATGAAAATATCACCTATCTCCTACCGTATATCGATGTGATGAAGAGAAATCAGTAATGATCCGATGTCGGTTTATTTCGGGAGGAAAGAACGAAGATATCAAAATAGAGGGGAAATCGACAACAACGAAACAAAGAAAACCACACTCTATATAACGGAAACGATAGCGTCTAGACAAAGAGAAATCTAACGACGCAATAAAGAAAAAAAAGAAAAAAGGTCATCATGAGTACATCATGATGGACAATCCACCATACATATATCACAGAAACGAAAAAACTGTATATACGTAAGGAACGGAAAGATGACTAACAAGAGAAACGAAACGAAAAGAAAAGGAAAGGAAAACAAAGAAAAACATATATCCTAGTTAGTGTCATCGAACGCTGACGCTAACACGAAGGATCTTCTATTACTTCAGAGGCAAACTCCGTCTGTGGGAAACTACAGCCGGCACCAAGCCCGGCTAAAGGAGGAGAGTTAGTCCCTGCTGAAGGGCCAAAAAATCTCCGACAATAACAATTAACAAGTATAATACAAGTCGCGTCCTGACACCACGTCATCGTTTGAAAATCGCCACTTGGAATGTCCGTGCCGGTTTTCAAATTGGAAGTCGTGAAATAATCGTTCGCGAATTATATCGTTATGGAATCTCTATCACTGCACTATCTGAACTACGGTTAATAGGATCAGGAAGTATGCGTGCCCGAGTCCCAAATAGCGACGACTATATGGTGCTATGCTACTGTGGTGTTGAGAAACGCATGGAAGGAGTTAGCTATGCAGTGGACCGAACAATATCTCAAAGTTTAACCGCCTTTCAACCAATTTCAAGTCGTCTTGCAATTTTGTCACTCTATGGAACAATAAATAGGCATATCATTGCTGTTTATGCCCCGACTGAAGTCAGTTCCGACGAGTCCAAAGATGAATTGTATATAAAATTGCAGGAGGTATTAGATACGCTACCCAGGAAGGACCTGATTCTCATTGCTGGCGATCTTAATGCACAAGTTGGAAGTAACCGACCAGATTGGGAAGATGTACATGGCAATTACGGTATTGGCAACATGGATGGCAATGGTCTACGTTTACTATCCTTCGCTGCAGCAAATGAGCTAATCATCGGAAACCGTCTATTTCGCCATCCACGAAAACTTCACCTATGGACGTTCGTACAATGAGAGGTGCCGATTGTGGTTCTGACCACCATCTCGTACGCGCTATCATACAGATACGCTTAAAACGACCATGTCCGAAGTCAACCACCAGTAAACGACGCGATTGGTCTAAACTCGCAAATCCAACAGTACAACAATGTTTCCAAATGGTACTTACAAATCGACTTGCAGCCCTCAAAGAAACCGACGACATCAACGAAGCAACTGTACAATTCAGCAAAGCCGTGAAGGAATGCACGGATGCAATTTGTCCAATAATACGACAAAGAGCACAGTCATGGATCTCAGACAAAAGTCTGGAATTGGTGACACAATGAGGCAGTGTAAGCTCACCAATACGACGCGATACCGACAACTTAACAAAGAGATTCGCATCCGACTCAAGAACGAACGGAACGCGTACTGGAGCGAAATAGCACAAGAACTCGAAGATGCAGCACATCGACGAGAGTACCGTTCTTTATATACAACTTTACGCCGGTTGAGAGGCAAACTGAAACGTACCAGTGACAGCATCAAAAAGGCTGACGGCAATTTTGTCCTATCCAACAACGAACGGCTCAATCGCTGCAAAGAGTATTACCAAAATCTTTACAATCATCCAGCTCCAGGAGGTAATCCAGCTAATTCACCATTTCTACACGACAGTACAGAACCCATCAAAGAAGATGAGCCTAGCATTGCCGAAATCACATCCGCAATTAAGCAGCTAAAAAGCGGAAAAGCTGCTGGACCAGACGAAATCGTCGCTGAAGCACTCAAAGCTGGAGGTAAGCCATTAATCGACCGTCGCCATTCGTTGCTTCGAATGATCTGGCAGTCCGACAGCATACCAGGTGCATGCAAACAAGCGGTAATCATTCCACTGTTCAAGAAAGGGCATAATCAAGAATGCAAAAATTACCGTGGAATCAGCCTACTTTCAATCGTGGGCAAAGTCTTCATGAAAGTGATTCAACAACGACTTCAGTCAAGACACGAACAATTGGCGCGGGAAAAACAAGCTGGCTTTCGTCTGTGGAGAGGTTGCTGCAATCAAGTATTCACACTACGGCAATTGCTTGAAGAACGTTTTCGTTGTGGCAAGAGACTAGTTACTGTATTCATCGATTTCGCCGCTGCATTTGACAATGTTCACCGACCGGCACTATGGAGATCACTTGTCACTGAGGGTGTTCCTGACAAGATCGTACATTTACTACAACAGTTGTACGAAGGAACGAAAAGCTGCTAGCGTGTAAATGGAGAAAAATCTGAAGAATTTTCGGTACACACAGGCGGTCGTCAAGGCTGTGCCGCCTCATCGCTGCTCTTTAATATAGTTGTTGACACAGTCATGAGAAAAGTCTTTAAAAGTCGACATGGTGTGCAATTTTGTAATAACGAATTAATTACAGATATAATGTTCGCTGATGACAGTGTAGTCTTCGCAGAATCGGAATCAGCAAAATGTCAAAGATGCTGCGTATCCATACGACTTGATCATAAATATGGATAAGACGAAAGTATTAACAACAGACGGTTCCCCGGTGATCGTGAAACTGGACAAATTACAACTTGAACAAGTCCAGCAATACAAGTACCCGGGTTCAATAGTCGAAGCGCAAAGAATCGCTGCAACAGCAGACATCACTAATCGAATCGGACAAGCTACAACAGTGTTTGGAACATTACCTTGGTGCTTTTGGCGCAAAAGTAACATCACCATATCTACAAAAATGCAGATCTATAAATCACTCGTTCTCTCAGTATTGCTGTATGGTGCGGAATCATGGACATTACTACAAAGCGACCTGAAGAAACCCGAAGTCTTTCAGATGCGCTGTCTACGTCGTATCTTGAGTATCTCAATTCGAGATAAAGTAAGAAATGAAACCATCAGGAAGTGGTGTTGCGATCAACCTACTATATCCGATGAAATTCAAAAGCGACGAATGCGTTGGCTTGGCCATATCTGTCGTAAGAATCCACACCGTCTTCCACACAGACTGTTATGGAAAACACGCACGAAAGGATGGAAAATACAACGCAACGCTCCAAAGAGAACATGGCTGAAACATAAAAGATTACTTCGAAAAACGCAGGCTCAGTCCAGTGGAAGCAAAAGAAAAAGCACTCGACAAACAACAATGGAAGGTCACTACACACAATGTTGTCAATGGTATAGTAGCACCTACAGCAGCGTACTGGCCGCGCGGTCAGCCGCCACCAAGCGTGCCCTGAGGAACATCAGGTTCAAGTTCAAGTTCGCTTCAGAGGCAATTGTAGACCCATTCTGATTCCGCAACTATAGACTCATGAACGAAAACTCAAAGGCCCATAGTTAATATCGCACAACCGAAGGAAAAGACTGCCTATCTGGAAGAAAATTAGCAACCAGTGTAAATCTCTGGAGGTCAAATACAATTCGACGTCAAAAAAACATCCTTATATAAGGCTTTTCCGGTCGATTCTCAGCGAAAATAAGTTTTTGAAAAAAATCGCGGCCATCGCTGATTGGTCGAAATTGACCAGTCAGAATTCCCGGTAATATGCTTTGGAATAAAGACTTTTTCCAATACTGGTTCCCACGATGGCATCAAACTGAGAGGTGAGTATCTTACTAGAGTACATGTAATTAATGCTGGGTCCTATAGATAATTAGTTGTCAGAAAGGATCATATATTATGATTATTTAACCGTTTATCAGTTAAATAAGTGGAAATTAATGGGTTTCGTTAATTAACGGTCGTTAATTAAGTAGAATTAAATTAAATGGTCCACCCCGATACTTAACTCTTTGGAAATTACTCTTCGTCACGTCATACGCGACAATAAAAGGGTATCTGCAGAACCTAAGGAGCAACTACTTAATGCATTCACAATAGAATTTTGCAGACGATTATGCGAAAATCAAATCGGTGATCGTCTTCACTTTTTCAAAATCTCCACAGCCTTCTGATCTGACTGCAAGATCATCGCATTTATTTGTCTAGAGAACTCTATCACCCAACTACTTGGGTATGAACACCTACTTAATCAGAGCTCATGGTATACGACTCGAGTGTCGCAGGGCACCCGCATGCTAGAGCATATTAGGACTCAAATACACTACCATAGTGCAGAACTTGAAGACCCCAGAGTGCCCCTACAGTATAGCGTATGAGGGTCTCGTATTCGTGACACAACTGACTTTATGGATATAGATCATTGGCAAAAAAACGAATTGCGAAAACCCTGTATTCGCTCCCCCTCAGGGATGGTGTGGTGAGTTTGAAGTATTTTTACGATATCCCAGCTATTTCTGGACTGATCATTCCAAGGGGAAAAAGCGATACTTTGTACTCTAGTACTGCAGCGATACTCCACCCTACTCCACGCGTACTCCAACAATTTTTTTAAAGCTAATATATCAATTGTTGCCCCTTTGTAGAATAAGAATATAGTATAGTGAAGTACAATGGGGTATGGACAGAGTATTGGAGTAGCGCTTTTTGTGTAATCAAAAAGTGAGTAGACTACTAAAATCGGTCAGCGTGTTCGTCCGTCCGTTTCCATGAGAACTCTTCGTAATCACATTCGATTGAAGCTGAAGTTACGTTGGGAGAATAGTCTCATTAGTGTCTCGGTCGAGCTCGAAGATGAGAAAGATTACTCAAGAAGTGGCTGAGTTGTCGAAAAAATTCACGTCTCACACTCTCTCAGCCCTGAGGGAGGGATACAGAGATTTTTAAAGAATTTCTCAAAACTACCTAAAATATATATAGATACACTCAGTTTTTAACGCTGACTTTGAGTCTGACATTAGTTTTGAACGAAATAGTAGTTTCATAAAAAAAAGTACTGCCTGGAAAAGCCTGAAAATGCACAAAAACTGCACCCACATGGCAAAGGACGTTTTCGCAGTGAAATGGTCATAAGTCGAAAGATATTCATTTAAGATCATTTCATTGAGCAACCATCCGCCAACTTTGCCCTTTTATGTTTTTTTACTGACCAACAGTATTATGTCTTTCAAATGACTGTGTTTATAGCTAATCAAAAGAACTATCAAGGAGTAAAAACTGAAACTCAATAGCTATTCGTACTAGTAAATATTGATAAAAAAAAGTGTTGCCTATATCTATCATGTGTCTTATAGATCCACGAGATTGCGTACGATTTTAATCCCGCTAGATACAAATAGGAGAATCACTCATCTTTCTCATACGCTTTTTGCAGTAGACTTAACTTTCGGCTGAAATCCGAAGTTACTGCATTTATTATTTGATGCAGCTGATGTGACAAGCCACTATGTTTCGATCATTTTTTCTGAACTATCATTTTCACTGATTTACCTTTGTCAGGGCTTTTCTAGTGTATCACAATATCAGAAGCGAAATGAAGAGTTGTGGGTGTTCTGTGACCGGATGAACCGTCAATAGAAGTGGCACTGATAAGATATGATCTAACATTAAATCCAGAACAGGTTCTACGAATAGTGCGCGAAGCTGTAAAAAATATCCATCTGAATATTGTCTGTACAATTTTCTGAAAACGATCATTTTCCATTTCGATCCCTTTTCATATGTATCTTGAGAATTCACTATCTCGGCAATAAAGGCGCGATGGCACAAATCCTCTTAAAGTTTTTCATACCTCATTCAGTGTACCTGCAGTCAAAAGATGGAACCTAAAGGCCTTGACTACTTAGGGAACTTCCGTCGTAGGTGCTAAAACCCTCTTGCTTGGGGATTCCGTTTCCTCGACAAACTCATTGCAATTCATCTCACAAAGCGTCAGAACCATTGTTGGTAATAAAGAAATCTACGCTTTGTAGGGATCTTGAAAACGAATCTTTTGCTAAAAAAAAGATTTCTGTGCACGTTGTATTATAGGTGAGAAACACGGAGGCAGTCACTCAATATGCCACACCTGCTAACAATTTGGCGGAACAGAATAGTTAATTAGTCAATATGTTTCTATTTACATTGAGTTGCTTACCTTGATATTGTGTAGCTGACGAATGGTGAAGCAACAAGCTATTGTATATATATATATATATATTTATGTAAGTAACGTTATACATGATGCTGAAGGAACACCAATACTTTCAATTTACCTCCACAAAAGCTTTGGATGAAAATATGATTGCGATTTGAATGCTTTCCTGATACAATGATAATTATACATAAGCAAGCCAGTAATGGAGAACATAACGCCGTCAACGCAACTTACTCCCTGCAGGTGTTGACCCTTTTGCTTGAAACTCACCACCAAGGTTTTGTTGTCCTTGTTAGGATGCTCAATATCATATAAATAATTAGGCATTATTGGCGCTGAAAAGATAAAGTGTAGTAAACTGATCAGAAGACAAATGACTAATAGTTTGTTTTGAATAATTAAGAGTGTGGGCGGCACCTACACCCACGCTCCTTAGAAGGAGTGTTGAAATGCATGGCAAAACAGGCTTGGGCTCAACGCTATTCGCTCTTGCACAGATATGGAACACGCTTTACAAGGAAACGTCTCGAAGCGGTTGTCCGAGTTGGAGACTGATATTATGTAGGTTAATTATACCAAGTATCACAATGCCAACGATAACCACTACGTAAAAATCTTATAACTAACAAATAAAGATGGCTAGAGACTCGACATATCCACAACTGAAAGAAATCGTAGAATAAACCTCTAACCATCTTTATTTGTTAGTTATAAGATTTTTACGTAGTGGTTATCGTTGAAAAGCTCGATAATAGGCGTGTGTATGCATTTAGTAGCGAAAAGTGTCTGAGTACCACTTTCTACTGAATCTGCTTCAGCCCGTAATTGTTGTATAGTTGGCATTGTGATACTTGGTATAATGAACCTACGTAATATCAGCCTCCAGCTCGTACAACCGCTTCCAGACGTTTCCTTGTTAAGACCTTCTTGTTATCATAGCTCAACTATCACAGGTATGATGTTGAGTCCCTCATTTACGATACTGGGCTGACAATGCAATTATAGCTTCGTATGGGGAGGTTTCCTAACAAGAATGCGCAGTTTCCTCATGCGCTCTTCGAATTAACACAGTAATTGTGTTCAAAGCATATGTATATCGATCTGTGATGTCTGATGGTACAAACTGACGATCGATTCAGATCGATACGGAGGAATGCCGATAGAAAAATCGTGAGTTTTGCTGCTTTTTACTTGCATTTTCCTGAAACTATGATAGATTAGACGCCTAATGCTTGATGATTGTTGTGACTTCGCATGCGCTTTCCTTCGCTAGCAGTATAGTGCTAACTTAATCCCTTAGTTCTCTAAAACACCGGACTACCTAAATAACATGTTCATTGAACTATCGTTCGAGAAATACTAACCCCAGTAAAATGTGAAAAAAAAGTGTCCATGCGTAACGTTTGGCCCAGCTGACATGATGCTTTATCATAGTTTACGTCTTCATCCGATAAGAATTGCACGAACAGCTTGTGTAAGTGAAAGGTTGTATTATAAAGAGAAGCTGACTACACTTCTGTTTCATCTCTTGTATAAGAAATATTTGAAAATATATATCAGCAAAAGTACATGTGAATGAATATTTAAAACTATGAAAGTACAAAGTACGAAGAAATGCGAGGAATGCACGGCTTGTCCACGGAACCCGACATTTCGCTGATCAAGATTTGAAAAACGTTTTTCGAATTATGAAAAGTCAAATAGACTATCCGACGTACTGTTCACGCTGATTACAAGTTTCATCTCTATTTGGCGAGAAAATCACTCTTTGTTCTAAGAAATTGAGTTTTAAACTTTTCAAATACTCATATTTTGCATCTTTTAAGGAAAGACCTTTTTGGCAGTTATCTGAAAATAAATACGCAAACTTCGGATTTCATCCGAGAGTTATGTGCACATCAGAAAGTGTCTGCGAAAACATATGGAAAGCATAGGGAAATATCAGTCATTCTGCGATAACTCACAAACGGTTCGTCAAATCAAGTATATCGGCGCACTTGACCGAAATATTAGTGAGACTAAATTGTGGAAAAAATTTCATCTCAGCCGGACTCTCCTTTGAAAAGTAATAGGATAAACGGTCTTTTAATCGGACACACTTATCGATTCTAGTAATGTGCTCTTTGTGAATACAGTAAAAAGCTATGAATAGAGTTACAGAAAATTCGCCAAAAACAAACTTTTCGTTGATGTACGTAATTAACAGAGCGCCCATGAAACCGCCACTCAAAATGACAGGGAACGGGCGCCGGTTTTTAGCT